GATAATCAACAGATGTTATATAGTTTGAATGTACGTCTCTGTACCAATCTCATGTCAAACTGTAATCCTCAATGTTGGAGGGAGGGCCTGGTGGGAGGTAATTTATCACAGGAGTGGGTTTCTCATGAATGGTTTAGCACCATACCACTTGTACTGTCCTCCTGACAGTGAGTGAGTTCTCATGAGATCTGGTTGTTTAAAAGTGTGTAGCACTTCCCCACTCTCTCTCCTGTTCCTGCTCCTGCCATGTAGGGCGCCTGTTCCCCCTTTGCCTTTGCTATGACTGGAAGCTTCCTGAGGCCTCCCCAGAAGCAGATGTTGCCATGCTTCCTGTACAGCCTGCAGAACCATGAGCAAATTAAACCTCTTTTCTTTACAAGTTCCCTAGTCTCAGGTATTTCAGAATGGACTAATACAAGACACAAACACCATGTTGACATAATTGTTGTGATTATGTGACATGGATCTGAAAGTAGCCATCACAAAAATAATTCATTAAGCAATTTTTTTTTTTTTTTTTTTTTTTTTTTTTTTTTACCTTTAAGTTCAGGGGTACATGTGCAGGTCTGTTATATAGGTAAACTTGTGTCACAAGGGTTTCTTGTACAGATTATTTCATCGCTAGGGTATTAAGCCTAGTACTCATTAGTTATTTTTCCTGATCCTCTCCCTCCTCCTACTGTCCACCCTCTGGTAGGTCCTAGTAGGTCCTAGTGTCTATTTCTATTGTTACTTCTTTAAGTTCACTGATTTGTTCCTCTGTCCTCTTCATTATTCTGTTTAGCCTATCTGTTGAGTTTTTTGTTTTTCATTTTTTTATTCTAAAATTTATATTTGATTCTTCTTTATAACTTTTTTCCTTTGGTGAGACTTTATTTTGCCAAGGTTTTCTTGTTTATTGTTTTTTTCTAACATACTTATAATTGCTCATTGCATTATTCAAAATAGCAAAGACATGGAATCAACTTAAATGACCATCAATGGCAGACTGGATAAGAAAATGCAGGATATATATGCCATGGAACACTATGCAACCATACAAAAGAATGAGATCATATCCTTTGCAGGAACATAGGTGAAGCTAGAGGCCATTATCCTTAGCAGACTATTGCAGGAACAGAAAACCAAACCAAATACTGCATTTGTTCATTTATAGTGGAAGCTAAATGATGAGAACACATGGACATGTAGAGGGGAACGAATCAGTGAACTTGAAGAAGTAACAATAGAAATCACCCAATCTGAACAACAGAGGGAAAACAGACTGTGAGCAAAAGCAAAGGACAGAGCCTCAGGGGAACCTGCGAGACTGTAAAAAAGAAAAAGACCTAACATTTGTGCCACTGGAGTTCCAAAAGGAGAAGAGCACGATAGCAGAAGTGATAAAGAATAGAAGAAACAATGGCTGAAAAACTCCCCAAATCCGGCAAAATATGTAAATGTACACAGTCAAGAAGCTGAGCGAATCCTAAACCAGATAAACCAAAAGAAATCTATTCCAGGATACAGCATAGTCAAACTAAAACACATAGTAATCTAAAGGTAGGCTGGGCACAGTGGCTCATACCTATAATCCCAGGACTTTGGGAGGCCAAGGCAGGAGGATCATTTCAGGCCAGGAGTTCGAGAACAGACTGGCCAATATGGCAAAACCTTGTCTCTACTAAAAATATAAAAAATACCCGGGCGGGGTGGCGCATGCCTGAAATTCCAGCTACTTAGGAGGCTGAGGCATGATAACCACTTGAACCCAGGAGGCAGAGGTTGTAGTAAGCTGAGATTGTACCCCACTGCACTCCAGCCCCTCAGTGACAGAGCTAGACTCCATCTCAAAAANAAAAAAAAAAAAAAAAAAAAAAAGAAAGAAAGAAAGAAAGAAAAGAAATCTAAAGGCAAAGGAACAACCTGAAAAGCAGCCACTCAGAAACCATGAAGGACACAAAGAAGTGGTACATTTTTCAAGTGTGGAAAGAAAAGAACTGTCCACTCAGAATTCTGTATCTAGTATAATTATCTTTTATGAATAAAGAGGAAATCAAGACCTTCTGAGATGCAGAAAAATCAAGAGAATGTATCACCAAGAGACTTTCTCTAAAAGAATGCTAAGAGAAAACCCTCTAAACCTGATCACAGAAGGAATCTTGAAACATCAGAAAGGGAAAAAAACAACATGGAAAGGGCAAAAATGTGGGTAAAGACAACAGACTTACACTTTCCTTCTCCTCTTAACTCTTTTCAATTGTGCTAGATGGTTGAAGCAAAAATTATAACAATGTTTGATGTGGTTCTAAATATATGTAGATGAACTATTTAAGATAAAATATATTACAAATGGGAGGGTAAAGGGATTTAAAAGAAAGTAAAAGTATATACACTTTATTCTGTTTAAACGTTGACATTAATACATTATGATAGGTCTGCATGTATAATGTAATACCTAGAGCAGCCACTAAAAAAACTATACAAGGAGATAGACCACAGATTTTTTAAAAACACAATTTAAATAAATCAAAATGGAATTCTAAAAAGTGTTCAAGTAACTCAAAGGAAAAAGAAAACAGAAAACAGGAAACAAACAAAAAACAGCAGATTTAAGCCTAATATATAAATAATTACATTAAAAATAAATGGAAAAAACTCACCAAAGAAAAGACAGAGATTGGCAAGAATATTTTTTTAAAAAAGTGATTTAACTATATTCCATCTACAAAAAACTACAGTCATTCAGATATATCTGAGTTAAAAAAAAAAAAACCCAATCTCAAAAGGTCACATAATAAGATTCCATTCATATAACATTCTTGAAATGACAAAACTATAAAGACAGATTAGAGGTTGCCAAGGGTTAGAAGAGAGGAGTGGTTATGATTATAAAGCTATAGTATGAAGGGTATCTTTACGGTGACAGAAGAGTTTCGTATCTTGATGGTGGAAGTTACACAAATCTACACACATGAAAAAATGATATATAACTATATACATACATTCTGCCAATGGAAATTTCCTGGTTTTGGTATTATGCTATAGTCACACAAGATGTACCCACTGAGGGAAGAGAGTGGAGGGCACATAGGACCTCTCTGTACTATCCTTACAACTTTCTGTAAATCTGTAATTTTTTCCAAATTTAAAAGTTGGGGGAAAAAAATCAAACTGCCAGAGTTCAAATTCAGGCTGCACCACTTCCTGTGTGAACTTAGGCTTATTTAACCAGTCTGGGTATCAGTTTTGTCATCTGCAAAATAAGGATAACAGTATCTACCAAATTATGACAAGAAACAAAATAATACACCAAAAAGGAAATTATATACATACAATGTAGGTGAATCTCAAAAGCATTATTGCTAAGTGAAAGACAGGAGACACAAAAAAGACATATCATTTACTTTTGTTCAAATAACACATTGGAAAACGCAAAAACCATAGGGAAAGAAATCAGATCACGGTTACCTGGAGCTGGGTGTGAGGAGAGGGAACTGAACTACATCTCTGAGTAATGCCTTTTGTAATCATGCAAATATTCTATTCAAAAATAAAATTAAGCCTACAAGGATGGGGGAAAAACTTAAATTTGGGGGAAAGGGCACCAAAAAAACCCTTACAGTGAATGCAAACAAACCAAACCAACCCAACTAACTGTATTTCAAATGACTATTATAATTAAACTGAAGCAGGGGAGGGAGCAGTGGAAAACCTAATCCAGACACTTTCACCATATGCTCTCAGGTGGTCTACAGAGTCGGTCTGTGGGGAAAAAGTTGTAAACAGATCTTGAACTGTTCTTAGGAAGTAAACCCAAATTGAGAAATATTAAAAAAAAAACAAAAACAACTGGCTTATATTCTTTTAAAATGTTAACACAATCAAAGAAAAGTGAAAATTACGGTAAAGGAGATTAAAGAGACATGTCAACTAAACATAAAACAATCTTGGAACGGATCCTTTCTTAGAGAAAAAAAAAAACAAACGCCTTAACAGACATCACTGGGACAGTTAACAAAAGTGGAATGTAATAACTGCAGATTAAAATATTAGAAGACAACTAGAGATTTTTAAAAGGTATTGTAACAATGTTAAACTTCCTGAATTTGGTAACTACTGGAGTTATTTAAGACAATATCATTATTCTTAGAAAATACATACTGATATATTAACAGATAAAGAGTCATACATATGCAATCTTTCAAAGAGGTCAGAAAAAATTAACACAATATTATATATAGCAGTAAATAGAATACTTCAAAGAGGCTGGAGTTCACAACTGACTACAACAAGTTACAGTCTGGAGCAGCAACAAGAGAGTAATAGCTACTCTACTCCCTGGCCTTACGATATGTGGACATGACAGAAAAACAAAGCCTCTGACTGAGAAGGTTGTGACAGAACCGCAGTACTTCATGGGATATTCAGATGTCAACTAATGCAAAAACAGAGAAAACACCCATAAGAAGTAAAGGATATCTGGCAGTCTGTTTATAACACAGAGTAAGGGCTTGGAGGGGAGGAAAAGAGTAGGGAATTGGGCTTGATTTCCAGAACAGTCAGGAGATTAGAGTCTGGGTGGTAAAAAATGACTTGAGGGTAGAAGAGGTAAAAAGGAATTCAAAGTAGGTATAAATCAATAGTGGTATTCTCTGGGTGGGTATTCTAGCTCCAAGGTCTCTAAAGCTCTGCTCTGTGGTATGACAATTTCTAGCGGATCTTCTCGGGGAAGCCTTTTCAACTCTCCAATGCCAGAGAGTTAGACACTCTTATCCTTAATGCCCATATATATCATTTAACCCATATTCAATAAATGTTAGTTGAATAAATTAATGACTCACCATAACCTGAGACTAAATATGAGAAAATTAAATTGAAAATCAACTTCACAAAAGAAATGACATAGCAGAATTTCATTTCTGAAAAAAGTGTCTGAAGTTAAAATAAGGAGTTAAGATGAAAAGACTACAAAATGGAGAATTATTTCTAGTTGATTCTGGTAAAAGAAATATGCTTACTGTACAACAAGCTGCTGGCATACAGTTCCATTCTCCGTTATCAGTTCATTCAGTTTTAATTCAAGGTGAACTTTACCCTATAATGACAAAAAAAAAAAAAAAATTACAAACTGAGTAGTCTATTTTACTGACAAAATATTAAAGGTATATGCCTTTTAAAACAGTCATAATAATGAACTATCCACTGACCACTAGCACATGGCTTTGGCTACACTGTTTGTCAAATGCCTAATAACCAAAATCATAGATCAAAGTTCTGAAAGATACGAAACAAATGCTTATGTCAAACATGGTATTCAAATTTAAGAATTTTATGCCCAGTTCAAAAAATATTTATGTGTCTAATTATCACAGGCTAAAAAGAAAGATAATACCTAAATTTAAGGAAATTCTGAGATAAAACCAAACTATAAAATGTAGGATGCTTTTTCCAGGAAAGATGAACCAGCATTAAGGACAGAAGCAGCATCATTAAAAGACAGAGAAATCATACAATTCTAAAATAACTAAAGACTAAGTTTTATCCAATAAAACTCAGTTTGTCTCTACTTACTTTGATCAAACAATAAAGATTTATGGAATGTCTACTATGTTTCAGAAGGCACTGTGGGAGTGGGTAGGAATCTACAGATGTCAAAGTTGTAAGTCACTGCTTACAAGCAGCGTACAATCTAGTTGGGAAGACAATAAACAAAAGATAACATATGGCCAAAAGTCTTGATGGAAAGATGAGACACTAAAAATAAAGGAGTACTTTCTTTAAGAGACATTAATAGATGAATTAAAAAAAAATTAAGTAGTATAAGCTTAAAAGAATTCAAACTATCAACTTCTCAAGAAACAAAGGCTTAGGAACAATATAATCCAGAGATTGATATTTCTACATTGCCACTGGTGATGAGCAATTCTGCACTAATCATGAGCAATTCTAAACTGGTTAAGAATCAGTACTGGATTACCTCCACCCAGCTGACAAGACAAATTCCCACATTGCCATGTGGAGATTTTGGGGAGTGATGTCTAGGGGCTGATGATGTGAGTGATTTCATTAGAGGTAGGAAAGTTCATAATCTGGTAGTCACATTTCTTCTTTAGAACAATCCCTTTAACATTCTTTAACAGAAACCTAACCTGGAACACCCTCACTATTTTAAGGGGACTTATACAATAATGAATCTGAGGTCCACCAGCTATAAAGCTTAGGGTGAGATGAACAGTAAGTGATGAGCAATACATACTGATGGATCTTAAAACAAAAGTCTGCCTAAGAAAGCTAAAGTCTAAAGCAGCAAACACATCTGTGGTAGCAAAATTAATAGCAATTATGGGGAGCTGGCACTAAATATATGTGCCACTAAAAATGTAGGCACAAATAAATATTTATAAAATCATATATAATTTATAAACTAGATTTTTCATTATTCCTGCATTTAATATTTATAATCTCTACTATTCAACAGTGATCTTGAAGGTCCATGTTCTGTAATTTGTAATATTACTCAACTAGAATTTTGAAATCATATTTTCTGTTGTGTGCTATGTATGTATTACTTGGCTAGCAAGGGAGGCAAGCCAACTACAAAAATTTGCATCTCAAAGCAGTTTTACTATTTTAATATGTATACATTTTATGACAGAAATCTTATGCTAACACAGCTCTCTCTCAGGAAATGTCTAGGATCTATTCTAGTTTTAAGATAATAAAAACTACTAAAATAGAGTAGAAAAATAATCATTTTGTTTACAACTAAAATCATAGTACTATATCAAGTCCAAAGGATTTTAATGAGATTCTACCAAGAATCATTATTACTGAGTCAGAGCCTACCTAATATGTTCATTACTCCCACTGACCAGTAAATAAAACATTCCTTAGGTATTAATCAACAATAACATAATTATATATTAACCTGGGCAAGAAAAGTGTGAGGACAGAACAAGCGGACACAAAATACTTACTGCTACAGTGGAATACTAGGTCAAAAGGCATTATGAGTTAAATTAAGAAAATTATAATTTCTAAACTGTAAAACACTAACTCATTATATACTTTAACATGGAAATGTGTATATGATACTTAGCAAAAGAATTAAGTCACAAAATAGGGTGCATACTATAATCTTAACATATATAAAATTATAAGACCATCTACTGAAATGTTGATAGAAGTTACCTCTGATTGGTGAAATTTCAGATTTTCTTTGCTTTTTTACTCTAGATTTTAAGAGTTTATATTACCAATTTAATTTTCAAAGTTTTTACTACTACTTTGTTGCTCTTAGTAAAGAAAAATGAACAGTTTTAATTTATGTAAAACTGCTTTTCAGTTTTAGAAACTCAAGTCTGTGAACATTTTGAAACATTTTTTAGTCTCTTTTTGCACAAAAGTTCAGTTTTACTTATATCTGTAATCATTTTATAGATTTGGATTGTAGCAAAACAAATTTGTGTGTGTGTGTGTGTGTGTGTGTGTGTGTGTGTTTTGTTTTTTGATGGAGCAGTTATGAGCCCAGTAAACTGACATTTTTTGGCCTCCCTTGAGACCACAGATAGCCATATGACATAGTTCTATCCAACAAGATAGAAACAGAAGTTGCTGGTAGGGAATCATATACCTTCTCTGGGGGAAAAATATCATTCAGACCCTCAAATTATCTCCAATATATTTTATATTTCAATCTCCAGCATTCCATAAAAAATTACAGAATATGCCAGAAGATCAAAAACCAAGAGGAAAAAAATGAGAAAAGCAGTGGATTTACAAGAGATGCAGATATTGGAACTGATAGAATTTAAAATAGCTTTTTTTTTTTTTTTTTAGACAGAGTCTTGCTCTGTCACCCACGCCACAGTACAGTGGCATGATTTTGTCTCACTGCAACCTCTGCCTCCTGGGTTCAAGCAATTCACCTGCCTCAGCCTCCCAAGTACCTGGGAATACAGGCGTATGCCACCACACCCAGCTAATTTTTGTATTTTTAGTAGAGACGGGGTTTTATCATGTTGGCCAGGCTCAAGTAATCTTCCCGCCTCAGCCTCCCAAAGTGCTGGGATTACAGGTGTGAGCCACTGCATCTGGCCTAAAATAGCTATTTTTTTTTTTTAAAAGATGGAAAACAATATGAAAAATCCAGCAGCTACCTAGAAACTATAAAATGAATGAAATAAAAAAGTTAAAACTAAGTAATAAACCAAAATGAAGACGTATTTAGTAGTAGAGCAGCCACAGCTGAAAAGAGGATTGGTGAAATGAGAGACAGGTCAGTAGAAAATATCCACAATGAATCACAGAGAGGGAAAAAGGATAGAAGACTTATGAGACATAGTGAAATGCCCTATTATCCATGTAACTGGAGTCACAGCAGAGAAGAGAAAAAAAGAACAGGACAGATTAAAAAGGAGATGAGATAATTGCCTGGAATTTTCCTGATAGAAGACAAGTCACAGATTCAAGAACTCCTAGGGACAAATAAGAAAAATAAATATAAAGAAAACCATACCTAGGCACTGGATAGTAAAACTGCTGAAAATAGAAAAAGAAAATCCTAAAAGCGACTACAGAAAACAGAGATAGTACCTACAAAGAAGTAACATTAAGAATCCAACAAGGAAGCTGGGTGCAGTGGCTCATGCCTGTAATCCCAACACTTTGGGAAGCTGAGGTGGGAGGATCACCCGAGGTCAGGAGTCGGAGACCAGTCTGACCAACATGGAAAATCCCCATCTCTACTAAAGATACAAAATTAGCTGGGCATGGTGGTGCATACCTGTTAATCCCAGCTACTTGGGAAGCTGAGGCAGGGGAATCACTTGAACCCAGGAGTGGGAAGTTGCACTCCAGCCTAGGCAACAAGAGCAAAACTCTGTCTCAAAAAAAAAAAAATCCAACAAGGAACTATGTTTGATAATAAACACATAATGTGATTTGGTCTACAACTGCATTCTTATTATTCAATCTCTTAAAGGAAACTCAAAGACAGTATACTTTTCATGTATATCAGAAAATGTTGGAAGATCAGATACCTTGTACTGTATTATATACCTTTAACAAAAAATAAACCAAATTCTTGGAAGGAATTGCTATATATGACTTCCATAGCATTAATTATGTTAGCCTGATATATGCAATTATAACGTGAGATTACCTTGCATTAAGGAGCATTCTGAGGAACTTACATTACTCTGATATTGACATAGTTTGGCTGTGTCCCCACCAAGTGTCAACTTGAATTGTATCTCCCAGAATTCCCATATGTTGTGGGAGGAACCCAGAGGGAGGTAACTGAATCATAGGGGCCAGTATTTTCTGTGCTAGTCTCGTAATAGTGAATAAGTCTCACAAGATCTGATGGGTTTATCAGAGGTTTCCACTTTTGCTTCTCTGTCATTTTCTCTTGCCGTCACCATGTAAGAAGTGCCTTTCACCTCCTGCCATGATTCTGAGGCCTCCGCAGTCATGTGGAACTCTAAGTCCAATTAAACCTCTTTTTCTTTCCAGTCTCAGGCATGTCTTTATCAGCAGCGTAAAAACAGGGTAATACAGATACTATCTGAAGATTTAGCATTTTATATGCTAACTTTATTTCAATTAATTTTACAAAAATTTCACATGAAAATGTCTGTGATTATTTCAGTTGTATATTACATATATTCTTGGTACCATATAGAAGATACCATTTAAATTTCTGCATATAGTTTGGGAAAATAAGATGAATGGAGGTGGATACAGTTTGAATATTTGTCCCTCCAAATCTCAGGTTGAAATGTGACCCCCAATGTTGGAGGTGGGGCCTCTAGTGGGAGGTATTAGATTATGGGAGCAGATCCCTCACGAATGACTTAGTGCCATCCCCTTGGTGGTAAGTGAGTCTTGCTTAGTTAGTTCATGTGAGATCTAGTTGTTTAAGAGTCTGGGACCTCTGCCTTCTGTCTCTTGCTCCCTCTCTCATCATGTGATATGCCTGCTCCCCCTTCACCTTCCACCATGATTGTAAGCTTCCTGAAGTGCTCACCAGAAGCTGATGGCAGCACCAGACTTCCTGTATAGCCTGCAGAAGAACCTAAGTCAAAATAAAGC